AATTCGCCGGCATCGTCAATGAGTTTTACCATTCGTAGCACCATATTACAACTCGTCAAAGAGACAAGTGAAACCACACCATCTTGGTCTTCATATCTTCGATTAAAACTAAATAGTTCAACTGAAACCTGAATGGAATATGCACCTTTCGGCCGATTCTAGTAAATTTGTCTCCATAGCCAAGCACGGCATATTGAAAACTTGCAATCAAAACACGTGGATGGATTAGGTGACTTTAAAGAGTTGCTAGCTTTGTAGATGCCAAGGATGTTTTTTGTTATGCTCGTTTCGGTAGAAATCTTGACAAAGTATGCAAAGTTCACGTGTTGTCTTGAGTTAGACACAAATATAGCTCTTGGTTTACCGAACATTTGGATAAAGTTAGCAAAAGGTAATAGTCTTGGGAGTGGACAGTGACTAATCTCTCGTTTATTTCCGGACAGTCCCCTATGTATCGGACGTCAGCATTAAAATCAAATTGTCGCAACGACTCTAAGGGTGTAAAATAAATCTACATCAATCCGGGCCGGCCAAATAGGCTGTACACTTCGGACTGATCGAGATGTGTTCAAGTGCCATATATCGTCCAGTTGCTAAAGAAACTGACGACACGGTAGACAAAACCTGGCAAAAGGTAGCTAAGCAACATAGGGCTGACGCAGTAAGAACAGATACTTAATCACTGACCTTGAGCTCGTGGAAGCCCCGCAGTGTACACGACAGAGCAGAGAGATAAATCTTCAACAGACACAACCAAAGGAGATGACAAAGACAGACAAGAATTATATGCGAAGAAAATTTGGGTTTCATAATTGCTGAGCTTACTTCCATTTCGAGTGAAAGTGTTGCGTGAAGAGAAGATACCCTGCTCTGATGATGTCCATCACGAAAGCTTAGCACCTTGTCACCGGAATCGAAGGAGATTACACCTCGGAGACAGCGTCAGTATGAATCTTGCAGTAAAGCCAATCGACAGTTGGTCTTCTGGTGGAACCGACCTTCGATTATCTTCACGCAACACTTTCCCTCGAAATGGAAGTAAGCTGAAAAAGACAAGAATTACTCAAATAATTATAAACTTGATTTTCAGACACCCGATAAACAGAGGTTCGCATGCGCATGACGACACAATGTACACCTGAAACCATATCCACCGAGTCATGGACGCCGCTGGGGTAAGGCGGCCTCGATCCGCATCGCCGTTACAGTTGCCAAAATTTCGAAGATTGGAAGCGACAATCCCTTCCACAATCCGTCAGACATGAACCCGACAAGATAGACTGGTCCGAGCAATCACCGTCCGGTTTGTGCCTCGCAAGAAGAGCCAGACCAATACCTGCCTAGGGGGTCAAAAGGCCAGTGACCAGGCAACGTAGGAGTGTAGATCTTCACATTGTGCACAAAAAGGAGCAATGCACTGGAGCCCATAAACAAGGGTTGAGCAGAGTTAGAGATAGTTTGGAGCTCAGAATTGTTGAGTTGTCGTTGAGATAGCTTCGCCCGAACCAGTTTTACATGAATTCCTGATTCTTGTCCTCCAACGCCTAGAATGATATTCATATTTCTGCTGAATGAAGCCATTTTTTATACATACTTTGCTGAAAATTGGCTATTTAATCAGATTAGGGAGTAGTGTTCACCCTATTTTGTTTAAAGTAATGCCATTTTTCCACAATAAAATGAGCAGGCTTCCTATTTCCATTGCATTTCACATTGTCTTGCTTCCCATACAAGGTAGGACGTGTGTTAGTGCTGCGTATAGCCTTTAAACGTCTAGCATTACGCTAAACAACCAGGAGTGCCCTTGGGTTACAGAAAAGACATCATTTTCAAGAAGAACCGGAATTTTTCCATAATACCTTGTGATAGAATTTCGAGATCACCCTTAGATTTGATACAAGAACAGCATTCACTCTGTTATGGGGACTTTCGTTTCGTATGAAGGTGAATGAAGAAGAGATTCGTTGGAGGGTTAAACGTTAATAACCCTAGACTAAAATGTTGGGACAAGTGGTTTCGTAACTGGAATTTCATGCTTAAAAACTCATATTTCATTATCTCAACCATATTTGCTTACAGATTTACGCAGTCTCGGTCGAAGCTTTCTCTTGGGTCATTAGGTCTTGAGGATCAGAATCTGAGAATAAACTTTTGACAACTCTAATTTAGGAACGCACACCTGCACATACGCATACACTCGAGCAAAAGTAACAGGACCAGTATGAAAGATAAGTAACCAAACCACTCTATAT